TTGTGTGAGTAAATCACCAATCCTACTTCATCGTCGACCGCGCTGGGCGGGTGCGGTCCACCAAAACAAAATACAAAGATACGAACCTCTAAATCAGTTTCCCCCAACCAGGGTTGAGAATCCAGCTTACAATGTCGCTATTAAACAAAAAGCAATCACGAGCAGAAAGAACCATCCTCACGGGCATGCTGACCCAATTGTTAGACTGGGGCATTTTCCTGGTGGTGGTGTTCGCGTGGGTGGTGTGGATGCCGCTGGCAGCGGGCCGGCGGCATCTTTCACTGGGGCGTTCAGCTCGGGGAGCTTGATTTTCGGGGCCTTGATTTCGGGGACCTTGATCTTGGGTAATTTGGCGTAGGCGGGGCCGGGGAGGATCTCGACGGCGCCGGGAAGCCCGCCCTTGGTGAACTGGCAGTCTTCGTTGGCGAGGATGGAGGGCATCTTGAACTTGCATTTGTTTTGTTCTCCTTGGGAAATAAGGGTGAAGACGGGGCAGTCTTCGACGCGGCCAGAGGGGTTTCTGCAGGTCTTCACTGCTTTTTCGAGGAAGCCGGGCTCCCAGGCTTCCATGAAGTCGGCGTGGTAGCCACTTCCCTGGGGGTCGCCGTTGGAGAGGACGAATTCACCCTCGACGCCCCTGTACTTGGCGGTGTTCCAGATGGTCTCGTAAAGGAGGGATACGAGGCGGGTTTCGAAGCCTTGGGGGCACACACCGTCCTCGACAAGGCTGGGATATGCCATGTGGGATTTGTGGTCCGGGCTGTCGAGGTCCTTGCCGTTCCAGCAGGATGGGAACATCATCTCCATGCGGACGCCATCAGGGCAGTGGGCGTCGATGTAGCTCTTGTCTGGCAGGGTGTGGCGGAAGAGGGTGGGTTCATTCTTGCCCCCCGCGTAGTTCAGGCAGTTGAAACCGATTGCCTTTTGGGAGAGGGCAAATTGGGAGCTTTGAGCCCCCGACCAAGAGGACTTGGGAGGGTCTGGAACTGGCCAGGTGAAGTTACGCTGGTATGGGTCACCGGCAAGCATACGGAAGCCCTTTGGGAAGGCCTTCACGTTATCTCCGCGCAGCAGATAGTAGCTGCAGAATGTGGACATATTAGAAGATACGGCGGAAAAACAAAAGCGGTAGCTTTCTATGTTGTGTTAAGGGGAAGGGGGGAGGGGAGGGGGATTAAACTTACACAAGCATACCACCGACTTGGTCCACCAATTCAGTATCGCCATTGGGGTATTTGAAGTAGGTTGCGGGAGTCCAATAGATGGATTTATCCTCCTTGACTGCGCAGGAAGTGCAGTCAGACGCTAACAGTGAATCCACAGTGACGCTCATGCCGAAGTCTATTAAGCAGTTAGTATTATATATATGTATATGTATATAAACATTCCACCAGCACAAAAAGGACAGAAAGAAAAAAGAAAACAAGTAGTTCTCCAGATCAATACATACTGCTGGCACCGTGAATAACGTGTGCGTGAGACGAGATGGCACCCGGATTGACCAGTGGATCAAGACGAGCCACGCCCAGACGGCCCCGACATGGCAGACGCCAGAACGCCAACGCCGGGGAGATGGTCGCCGCAACAACTGCGGTGAAAACGATGCCCAAATGCATGTTTGGTATAGATATGTATATGGTTTGCCTATGATATGGCGGTGTGTATCGAGTCCGGACTCGGGAATATCGATAATAGGTTGCTTTTCTGGATGAAGTCTAGGTTCGTCGTATATAATGAAAGTGGAGGAACGATTGGAAAGCCTGCAATCTCAATTTCCCTCGGGGCGAAACAGTGTAAAGAGTGACAGACGCGACAAGAAAAAAAGGAGTGTGTTGATGGGATGATTGATGAATCAACGGAGTGACGTTTATCGAGTCATCCAGCTGGGAAGTGGATTGGGATGTTTTAAAACATTAATAAGACCCCCCTAAAAGAACACGGTGCGCAGTGAATAAACAGCGGATGAGGTTGTTTCGTTTCGTTCAGAACAAGAAACAACTGCTCCTTTTTCTTTCCTTTCCCAGTGAGTATATCCCAGTGGCGATGCCAATTCCTTTTTTATTGTCTATTTTGTTGCTTTGTCTATACAGTCCGCCTCTCTCAGGTCAACGGTTGTATAGTGATGTCTTGAAGGGAGGGTAGGATGGAGAATTGGGAAATATGGACGGCTGAAACGAACGACAAGAAGAAGAACAAGAACAAGAAGCAAAAGGGCGAGTCCTCTTTGAGGCGGTAAGTGCACGAAGGCAAAAGGAATGAATAGCTTCAGCCAGCTGACTGTCTTCCTTTTGAAAAAGGGAGATGCAGCCTCGAAGGGACGGGCAGAGGGATGCAGAGGAAGAAAGCAGTAGAGGTGGTGAGAGAGAGAGAGAGAGAGAGAGAGACGGAGAGAGATGGAGAGACTTGAGGATGAGATGAGACGGGAAGAAAGCGCAAGAAGACTTCAGTCGATGATCAATTTCCCCTTGCAACTAAAACCCGCTTGATTCGCATGGGAAATTTCAGATCCTGAGCGCTAACACACCTAGTGCAGCTGGGCATATTGTCCTATCCAGGCTATCCAGACAGACAGATGGAGGAGGATCTTGGTTCAGATTTATTATTTTTATTCTGATGATGATAGGGCAGGCTCACCTACATCATACAAAAACTGCCTGCTGTCAGCACTTCGCAGGGAGGGGGTTTGAAACACCATCCAAATTATCCAGCGGGGACTTTATATAACTTCTAACATTTGCTAATCCGCAGCTAAAACTTCCTCCCTCCTTGTTCCCACTCCTTATTAGTTAGTGACTCCTGATTGCTCCTGAGTGAGTTCCCCCCAGAATCAAGGGCCCAACCCGAGTTCGCCTGGCACGATACGGTGTACGCTGTACTTAGCATTCCATGTGGCACATCTTGGCTCGAGAATATTCTCTATCCATCACCTACGATCCGCTCTGCTGCCTGAGCCGTTTACGGATCTTGGCTCCATAAGAATAGATTATTTAGCAGGACGGAGGAGGAGTAATGTGTTCCAGCGGTCCCTGCTGTGAGCTTGTGTGTGATGTTGAATTGTCACACACCACGCAAGCATGAACATCCCCGATCGATCCTAATTTGCCTTCTCATAGGCCTGCGCGAATGAGGGGATGGGTATTTATTTGTCTTTCTTTCTTTCTTTGACTGTTTTTTGCCCCCGGAGCCAAAAAGAAAGAGAGCCAGAAAAATTAAAAATTCTAAAAAAACTGCAGTATGGTATGTAGGGGATTCCGCCCCTCCCTTTGTCCAAGGCCGCCCAGCAAGGGGGCCGAACTTCTTATTAGCATCATGCCTGCCATGCCTCCCTAGCTAGCCCCGTCTGTCGTTAGTGCGGCCTAGGACAATGCGCCAGTCTCCATTCTCTCCTGGCCCCTTGCCTTGCCGTGCCGCTAGGGCCATGACATGACAGGATTTGGGTAAGAAATCGGAGGAATCTGCCCCCAGCAAAGCAAGTTAGCTGGCTCCACGTTTGGTGCACTTTCTCGCCTTCTGCTCAGGTACCAGCCAACCACCGTCGACGTGCCCTGGACGAACAGAATAGCTGCTCTGGCATGCGATGTCCCCTGATTTGTTCCTGGACTGATGAAACCGGTGGCTTTTCCCGTTTTCGCTGAATCGCTGGGCAGAGCCGCTGCCAAGTGGGCGCCCCTCTCTTGCACCCCATCAACCCCCCCCTTCTACCGCTTTCAACCCCCGTCATTCCTTCATTCCCGACATCAGATGGTGGGACACTACTACTGGGTCACTGGGTGGGTGGCGCCAAATCTTACCTGTGCTGTTCTGCTTTGGGTTTGGGCCGATTGCAATGCGTTTGGCGGACTACGTTTTTCCGAGGTCCTCGCATGTAGCTCACGGTGTGTGCCGTTCGCAGTACGCTGTACTCCGTACTCCGTACACTGTCACACATCATTGAAGTTAAATACTGCTGATTCATAAGATCTTGGCAAAAGATGCAAGTACAGCCACTCAATCCACTGAACAGAACACCTGGGCCTTTTTCATCTGTACTTTGCAAAAAGCAGCTGTAATATTAGTACAGATGCTCTGCCCACTGAACAGTCATGATATTGGGGCTGTACTTTTTTTAAAAAAAGTGGAGATCTGTAGTTACAAAAAAATGAGTACACACGGCCGGCCGCACCGAACAGGCCCTAAGTGCTGCGGCGCAAATAGCTCCCTAGACAAGCCTAGTCTGATTCCCCCCTCCCAATCTTGGGCATAAAAGTATCGATTGGAATTGGAGATATCCAGCAGGGTTCCAATGCAGCAATGGGTTAAGCAGAAGGCACCACTGTTGCCATTAAGGACAATGATTCACAAAACAAAAACCTGCGAGCAAGGAATCTTATTTATTGAATGCTTGTTCATTCTTATGTGTTTTTATCTCATATCTGTTTCATTCCCACTCCGTCTTTGTTGACATAGGTGTACCGAGCATGGCGGTGATATCGACAATCCAGGAACTCGTAGGGAATCCATTTATGCTTTCGACCAGCCTTGCTATTGTAAGTTGAAAAATTACTGCCTCCCAAAGGGGATAGCTAACAGATAGGTTAATTGCTGAGACGTATAGCTTGCGTTTCACTGATAGAAATTTCTAGGTCATACTATATCTCAGCAGTAAACTCGTTTACAATGTTTTTTACCACCCACTCCGCTCATTCCCTGGCCCAACCAGCCATGCGATGAGCCTTGTGCCGTATATTTACAAAATCCTTCGCGGGACTCTAGAATATGACGTACTAGACCTGCACAAGGCTTACGGCGACGTGGTACGAATCTCCCCTCATGAACTGGCTATCTGCGGCCCGGGCTCCTGGAAGGATATATTGGGAAATCGCAAAAGTGGCGAAGAGCAACTAGAAAAGTTCTGGCAGTATTATCGTCCTGGGGGAACGCACGAGTCAACTAGTATCATTAACGCAGATCGCGAGGAGCACAGTCGCCTGCGCCGTCAGCTTTCCCATGGCTTCTCCGATAAATCAATGAGGGAACAGGAACCCCTGATTACTCGGCACATCGACCTCATGATAAAGAGATTCCTTGAACTGGGTGGAGCGGGTTCGAAGTCTCTCGACCTTACGCAGTGGTATAATTATGCCACGTTCGATATCATCGGAGATCTGACGTTTGGTGAATCGTTTGGATGCCTCGAAAATGCCTATTTCCACCCCTTTGTCAAGCTTATGCTTGCATCAGGGAAAATTGCTTCATTCCTGCAATGCGCTGGTTATTTCCCGACATTTAAGAAATTTTTGTTGAGCTTAATTCCAAAGACAGCAATGAAACGTCAGGCGAACGTCGCAAAGGAGAAAATCCTAAGGCGGATGAACGCCGGTATAGAGCGCCCGGATCTAATTGAGGGATTGTTGAAGAAACAGGAAGAATGGGTAAGTCACTGCTTCAAGACAAGAACTGAAAATTTCTTCTCCTATTATACGTATAACAGGTAAACACTCTGTTGCAAAGCAAACTCCGCCCTTGGGAAATAAATCCCTAGTTCTGGGATACCAGATCGCTTCTATGCTAACCATGACTCCCCTTTCTCCTATAGAATATGAGCCTCGATACCCTCTCAGGAAACGCCCGACTGATCCTTGTCGGCGGCTCCGAAACAACCGCAACACTTCTGTGCGGCGTAACATACCTGTTGCTATCGAACCCTCAAGCCCTTGCAAAGCTGACAGCGGAGGTCCGCTCAGCTTTCAAAAGTGAAGACGATATTAACATGAACTCCGTAAACGAGCTGGACTACATGCTTGCATGTCTTAACGAGGCAATGCGAGTGTATCCACCCGTGCCGCTCGGGCTCCCCCGAGTGATTCCCAAGGGCGGTTGTCAGATAACTGGACAATTCATTCCTGAGGATGTAAGACGTTCCTCCCCTCCCCCCCTTCATCTCTTCTTCTGTATCGAGATGTGAGACTGACAAAATATTCCGTACGCTGGTCATAATAGAGTGTGGTCGCGATCCACCACTGGGCCACATATCACAACGAAAAGTACTTCACGGACCCGTTCGCCTTCCACCCGGAACGTTTCCTAGGGGATCCCAAGTTCGCCAACGATAAGCGCGAGTTGCTCCAGCCTTTCCATGTCGGACCGAGAAATTGCCTTGGCAGAAAGTAAGTGAAGCACGCATATTATAATATCAATGAGAAAGAAACACAACCCCAAATATAACTAACTCCAACCTGGCCAAAAAAGCTAACCACTTCTTATTACTTCTCAAAACGGACTAGCCTCGCATACGCCGAAATGCGCCTCATTCTCGCGCGCCTGATCTATAATTTCGACATGAATCTCGCGCCAGAGAGCGCGAACTGGTTGCGGAAACAAAGAGTATTCCTCTTCTATACAAAACCGCCGTTGAATGTTTATATGAGGCCTGTGAAGAGGTAGACTAGTAGGTTGGTAGGGTTCTAAAAAGGGACTTTGTTTTAAGAAAAGAAATGTTGGGCGGGCTGCTTTCTATCGTTGTTTAGATTGCATTTTCCCAGTCGTTGTCTTTTTGGTTTATTTTATTGATGAGATGGGGAAGAGAGACACTGCTCGTGGTAAGCCTTGGATTTGAACGATTCCTTCATGACGGTCTCTTTTTGCTTAAGATGGCATGATTTCACAGCTATTAATTTGGTTGATACACGTATCTATGTACTCGGACGACATGCCTAGAAAAAAATAAATTCGTGGACTCAAAAAGTCGACAGGAGATCAAAGGAAATCTAAGCTTCTGTGATTTTCAAATGTTGTTTTTCAGGAAAAACTCTTTTATAGAGCTAATCTCGATAATTTAGATAGCTAGATTTACAATATTTTCCCTACAAGGGCTTCCTCATAATTGGTACCTCACTTTTCCCTCCCCCACCCGGCCCTCCTAACTTCCCATACCATACACCTGCCTGCCTGTGCACCATTTTCTTGGACATTCTGCAAAAACACAGCTACTATGTCATCATGTATCATCAAAGGTTACTTCTGCTACGTCAAACCTATCTTGGTACCTCTATATATATACACCCGTTCAGTTCTTTTCTGCAACACCCCAGAATGCTTGCTTTGAAGGTGCATGAAACAAAATATATAAGAAAACAGGGTGAAGGCGCAAGACACCAACTTTATCCAGAGCAGTGCAATGAACATTATTATCCTTGCCCACTCTCTTACCTAGTCCGTCGTATTCATACTGCATACAAGAAAAACACAAACCTAAAAAAAACCAATGGGTATCGGCTACCAGCATGTCGAGCTCCCTAATTCCAGTGTCCCAAACCCAACACGAAAGAGAAAAAAAAAAGGAAGTAAGAAGAAAAAGACATGTATAAAAATAATAAAGTTTTATAGTTATCAAGTAATCTCAAAGAAGTGGGCGTAATTTGGGTATTCCATCATTCCGCATCATCCACCAGGCCCACGGCGGGCAGGGCTCCTCCGCCTCCCCGCAAACCTAGTCGTACGCGATCTCGAAGATTCGGCTGGGACATTTGGCGCCTGGGTCGTAGTCACACCGACACCACGCCTTGCTCCCGCCGTAGCGTCATCGGGGCCCCGTTGCCTAGTAGCGTGTCTGGATCTAGCACGGTTCAAAGCCGGGTTTAGCAAACCTTCAGCTTCACCATCCAGTTCCATTTCAACACTTTGATTCGGGTCCTCGACAAGACCACTGCGTTCGTTCGTCCATTCTTCTTCATGGGTGGCCCGCCGGTCCAGTCCACGTGACTTAGTCCGCGTGGCTGCTTTTTCCCTTGACTTCTCTTTGCTTTTGGACGTAGTCCTTTCTCTACTGCTAGCACCAGCAGCAGTTTGTCGGGTGGTGGGTGGCGGCACGTATTCCTGCTTCTCCTGTTCAATTTCCCATATTTCAAGTGCTCTTGAGAGTAAAGTTCCCGCAACGCCAGCACCGGCTGCAGCGTCACTGCCGCTAGCGCCTAAGACGCGAACCGCCTCATGTAATGCGGTGACCGCTTGCATAGTCCGTCCTAGTTCAAGTAACACAAGGCCACGGGCCGTATGTAAGGACCCGGTAAGGCCCCTATCTTCATAGCCACCAACGCTCGTAGAACCAGCAGATACAAGACCACCCGCTCCTGCACCTGCGAGTGCCGCTCCATAACCAGTCGCAGACCCGCCGGCTCCGATTCGAAGGGATTCATCAAACTCCGCCAGTGCTTCTTCAAAATGTCCCAAACGACGCAGAGCATGCCCTAAATTAGCTCTCGTGGCGAGCCACGCACCTGGGTCACAATTTAATGACGAGGCCAAGGCTAGCGCTTGGCGAAATAATTCGACGGCACCTTCAAGGTTATTTTCGTGGTATAAAACGACCCCTAGTTCATTAAGCACCAGTGGGTCGCCACCTGATGGAGCAGGCGATTGAGATAATGACTCAGTAGAAGATGGAATGGTATCAGACATTGAGCCGGATGACATTGAATAGGCGGCAGACAAATACTCGTGAGCCAGAGACATGTTGTTTAGAGCAAGATGCTGCATTCCCAAAAAGAGTTGCGGAAGGTGACTTCCTTGGAATAACCTCGCAGCAGTACTGTATGCTGCAATTGCCTGGTCATGTTCACCCTCTGCAGCGAATGTGTGAGCAAACCCGATCCAGGCTGGGGCTGAATGAGGATCCAAAAGGGAGGCCTTGGAGAAAAAGCGTCGGGCTTCAGAAATTTTACAAACAGACATGTAGTATATACCAATAGCGAGATATGTATATGATTCCCCTGGAACGTTATCGGCAAGAGTATGGGCAAGCAGAAATAGAGCGTTGGTGGCGCCCGTCTCATATAAACATGCGAGATGGAGAGGGTAAACGGCAGGCGAATGGCCAAGGTTATGACCTTGACTTCCCTGTGAGGCAAGCATGGGTCCAGAATCATCAGAAGATGAGAGAATAGAGGATGTAAGTGACAATGCCTCGGGGAATCGACACTGAGTATAGAGAGTTTCTGCACGAGAGAGAAGAAGATCAGGGTTATCGGCAAGATTGTAATGTGTGGATAGCGTTTCTGTAGCGTAAGAGAGAGCATAAGGGGAGGAGTATTTCGATAGGCGAGTTGTATATAGGAGTTTCATAAATTCAGCGGCTTCTTGAGCTATTGATGGGTCTGTACAATACGTAATGGAGTCGAAATCGAGGGATTCTAAGAACTCGAGCTCCTCCGCTGGAGACATAAGAGAGTTTTTCATAAGTTGATCGAATGCCTCAAAGCACTGCACATCAATTCGCACAGCATCTTTATAACAGTCCCTGGCTCTATCGAAAGCGTTTTGTCGGGCATAGCATAATCCGCGCAGGTAGCACATGGCAGCCTCAAACTTGATGTTTTTGGCATCTTCCCGTTCTCTTTCTTCGCTTCTTTCAACGCGATCTGCCCGAGAGGAAGCACTTTTCCCATTGCGCAACGTAATATTGAAATTCCCATTCAGATGCTGTAATTTCCGCCGGGTATTGCTGGAGGAGGCTACAAGGTGGGTAGGGTTATTGTCACCAAGAATGGTGAGGGCTTGGTCAAATTTGTTTTGCTTGATATAGCAATGCGCTGCCAGATATCTACATGACGAACTCCGGGCGATCAAATCTTTCTTCGATAGTAACGCTAGTGCTCGAGTATAATTGTTGTTTGAGAAATGTACCTGTGCAAGCCAGAATGCATCATTGTCACTGTCTGGGAATAAATGTCAGTTCACAGTGAAATGCACGCCATTGAACTAGAAATTGAGAAGCCTCACTTGTAAGGGCGAGCACCTTGTCGCCTATGTAGATAGCTGCATCATGCTGGCCTTTGTTCAGGGCGTCCTGCCGCCAGCTGCGGAGAAAGGACTCCATGAAGCGTCAAGCGCGGTACCCCTCAAAACTCCGTGTTCAGGGACAGTCACTCATCCGGACTGAGTTGGACAATTCATGTAGATGGTTCCCCCGCGTGCTTACTGCGTAGAAGGTTTGTTTTGTTGGGATGTTGAGCTTGTCGCAAAAAGCTCGCTGTTGATGTTTCCCAGCGAGGAAGAAGCAATCGAGATGTGGTCTGTGCGTCTGTTGACATCACATGGCGGGTATCGGTACGGTAATCTGTGTATTTGTATATTTAGCCGACAAAACAATACCTAGTATATTGATGTACTGTGTACTTCATATATTTTATAACAGAAGTTCTGTTTACTCTTGTGATGAATGGACAAAGTAGAAACAACCTTCGAAACTATATCCTAAATTCACTGGTACTTTGTTTGTCGAGGTTCTGTTCTTGCTCGGAGCTACAGGAGGGAGCTGAATACCACGTACGTGTGATCTTGAAGCCTCCCCCAAAGTTCGGTGGCGCGAACCTCAACCCTGCCACAATTCACGCCACGTCTGCTCTTCAACCACCTCATTCTAATCTGCCAAAGTGATAGATAGCCTCATATATAACTATCCGTTACTAGTTATCCACAATTTCACTGAGAAAGACGCTCATTTACTTAGCCCACCATGTCTGAACGCAAAGTGCTCACAAAGTACTATCCCCCGGACTTCGACCCGTCTGTCATAACGCGGACACCTAAACACCTACGGGCAACGGGTCCCAAGCTCCTAACAGTCCGCCTGATGGCTCCATTCAGTCTAAAATGCACAAATTGCGGTGAATACATATACAAAGGTCGCAAGTTCAACGCGCGCAAAGAAACTACAGAAGAAAAATATCTAAACATCCCCATTTATCGCTTCTATATTCGCTGCACTCGGTGCAGCAGTGAAATAACCTTCAAAACCGACCCCAAGAACATGGACTATACGTGCGAACGCGGTGCTAAGCGTAATTTTGAGCCCTGGAGGGAAGCCAAGGAAAGTGAGGTCAATGAAACAACGGATGAGACGCTGGATAGGTTGGAGAGGGAGGAGGGAGACAAGGAAGAGAGGGAAGAGCGGGATAAGATGATGGAGTTGGAGGAGAAAATGCAGGATTCGAAGCGCGAGATGGCAGTGGCGGATGCTTTGGATGAGATTCGGACGAGAAATGCGAGGATTGAGCGGGGGGAGAGAGGGGCTGGTGAAGAGGCGGCGTTGCTGAAGGCACAACGAGAGGCGGACGAGGAGAAACTTAGGGCTGAGAGGGAGGATGAGGAGGCTGCGAGGAGGGCATTTATGACAGATGGTGGAGAGAGGGTTAAGCGACTAGTGGAGGATGAAGCCTCTTCATCGGGTGGGGCGACACCGGCTGTTGAGAAGTCCGATATGCCACCACCTCCCTCGTTTGCTAGGGTGCGAAAACCGAAGAAACCGTTTAACGCCGGTCTTGGGATTAAGAAGAAGCCGCCGCTGGTTTGAAGTTCGTTTATGGTTCATAGTACTTGCATCTGGTCTCGAGCATATCTGGGCGTTTATCACTGCGGTTGGAGCATTGTCATTGGATACATACCAAGGGAGTTATACAATTCATCAATAAAGGATGTGAAATTTTTGTTTTTTAAGTATGTTCTAAGCCAGTTGGATATGATGTATGAGTAACATTTATAGAGAAATTTAAATGTAATTTCATCAATACATACAGATAAATAAATACTAAAATTATTCCTAGGCCTCCATAGAATTAACCCCACAAACCCCTGACGCCACGCTGAGCAATGATAGACAGACCATTGCCTGCATTTTCCGTCCCCAGTTCATTTCAGAGCCGTCATTGCGTTTTACAGTATTCGAAATAAAAATAAAAAACAATAGGAGGTTGTTACTAACAATAAACAACTGAAAGGTAAAAAAGTCGGATCAATGTTTTTAAAAAATAGTACAAAGGAAGTTAGAAATTGATAGAAAGAGAAATCACAAAACAACCACAATGATAAAAGGGTGAAAAAGAAGAAACCACAGAGCAATATCACAGAAGGGGTACTGAGTAAAAGAAGAGAGAAAACAATCCATGAGCGGCACATCACAAATAGGGCATCCACAACGCGTCACTCTGCGCTAGGTTCTGCGGATTAACCGCCCTCGAAATAAGGTCAATGACGGATTGGTTGGCAGGCAAGTTTCCGTCAGGTGGGCTCGCAAGGCTAACAGCCCTATTGACAATGAATTCACAATTGCTCTGTACCATATCTCGCAGCTGGCTCTCAATCGGCGAAGCTCGCTGCGCGGTGGACCAGAAGATCATTTCGTCACGGACGAAGAGGCTCAGTTGCTGCTCCAGCTCATGTCGTGGCTCAGTAAGGCAACGGGCAATTGCCATCACTGCACAGGCGAAGATACCTTCAGTGGCCAAGGGGCCCATCAATGTTTGGATATTTGGTGTAAGGCGGAAAGGCACGTGTTCAGGGTTGAAGAAGAGAGGTTTGGCTGTGTGCATGTTGGGGATCAATTCGGATCCCCAGATATCTCCTGTGGCACGGGAGATGGAGATCTTGTTCGGGTAGCGGTTGGTCATGTGCATGACATATGTCATGAACGCGACTGCAGCATATTGGTAGGAGAATTGGCGACGGAAAAGCCAGAAATCAGCGAAGTTGGGATATGTTTGCTGGAAGAACTCGAGCAGGATCGTGTTAGGAACCCATTTCTGTTGGATAGCGGAGAAGATTTCTGACCGCAGAACTAAGGACTGTTCAGACGTGCGCTGTTCATTATTACGGTTAGTAAAGGGTTGTGGTAACGATTGCGATCCAAAATCACTCACATTTAGTTTCGTCTCGGCCAGCGACCGCATCTTTTCCATGGTGAACAGCACAGGCTCGTCTTTGCTCATGCCGGTCCGTCGGCAGTGGTCCTCATAGACTCCCTGCAGCGAAATATACGACGGATCATCCTTAACAAGCCGGATATGAGGGGCGAGGGGAACCATGAGGGGGAGATGGAAATAAATATTGCGACGCCGGCTCTCCTTTCGTTTAGAGAGGATGCCGTTGAATATCCGGAAGAGTTGCAAAATCCGCTCCTCCCGGCGACAATGGCGTGCAGCAGGATGTTGAACAGCAAAGCAATGTAAACTACCATCATGACCACGCATCTTCAAACGTCGGTGGCAGACCCCGATCCCACGCACAAGTTCAACATTCGGTAGGAAGCGATCGATGCGGATAAAGTCTTGGTTTTTATCTCTGTACTCCAGGTATTGCCCGGGAACTTCAATCTCATCGAATTTGAGGAATTTGAACTCGCTGAGGTGAGGAGAGAATGCTTCGAGGGATTGTGTATGTGGTCGTCGGTCAAGCTTTTCTTCGAACTTATCCCGCCATCGTCGTAGCTTGTGGATGTACTCGTGCATGGTCGGCTTCTTGACAACGAAATCAGCCTCGAATGACTTGCGGATATGCGCGGGAAGAATAGTCTCCGCGAAGCGAGTAATGTTGCCCTCTGTCGCTGGAGGAAGTTTGAAGTCTTGTGCATACGAAGCAGGCATCCGACCCACATAAGCAAGACCATCATTAAGTAAAGCAACGATAAGTCTGTATGCATCTTCATCCGGCGGGCACTTGAAGTTCTTGTGGATTTGGTCGACCATTGTCTCCATCGAAAGCGCTAGGAGGGGGAATGCGGTTTTAAGGGTAGCCATGACATCTTCCGCGTATTCCCACGATTTCTTAAGCGGCTCCTTCTGTGGAGCGTCTGGGTCTGGCTTTTGCTGCAAGGGATTCATGGCGCCTGGTTGTCCAGGTTGGCCGAGCTGGCCTACTTGTCCCATCTGCCCCGGTTGCCCCATCTGCCCAGGCTGTCCTACTTGTCCCGGCTGTCCCATTGGTCGGGGTTGTCCAGTTTGGCCAATATGAGGCGGCTGTCTAGGGGAGGTCTGCGCATCTGTGGTACCATTAATCGCAGAACCATCAGATCCGGCCGTTCCAGGCTTCGACTCCGGTGTGCTGTCTTTGATGCCGATGCCCGGAGATTGTTGCTGCTGCTTCGCCCGGTTAAGCCTCTCCTGTTTCTGCTCATGCGATCTGCGGATAGAAACTAAATCCTCACGGCATGTCCTTAACAAGAAGAACAGAGATTGTGGGTATAACTTGGCGATCTTGCTTAGAACTGCTTTGGACAATCTTGCTTCACGGTGGGATAGACTAGTGAGCAGCTGTGGGATGAAGGTAATCCAGTACCAGACAGGCGTATCACCCTTGAAATTTTCAAAGGCGGAGGCAATTTTCCCTTCTTCGTTGTCCAGACTCAGCAGCCAAAGAATGCGACTCAGAAGCTTTCTTGATTTGGAACTCTTGTATAGACCAGCTGCCTCGAGGTAGCAACTAACGGCATTACTTGCAAGTTCTATTTCCTTAGGAGATTCTTTGAATCGTTGATCGCTGTATTGACCCCATTCAGCCCAGGCTTTGGCGAGTCGTAGATCGTAGTATAGAGCAACCCCAAACGCTTCGTTGGCCTCATTGGTGTGATTGAGCTTAGCCAGGAACATCCCCTTCAATGTATAGAATTCGGCCTTTTGTTGGGCGTTGAAGTAGTTCAGGTTCGTATTGTTGATCACGTCGAGTCCGCTGTTAAGTTCCTTCGGGTTCTGGTAATGGCACTTGGCTTGCTCTCTTAATTTGAGGAAGGCTTCTTGGATCTCAATATTTGGTAGTGTGTAGATGCGACTAAGCTGGTTGATACACACTTCGGGCATTTGGTGTTTCCGTGCAACATGAGCAAAGCGGTTGATAATCCAGGCTGTCTCGTGATAACCTCGGTAAGCGTATGAATTGCTAGTAACAGTATTTGACTGGGGAAGAAGGCTGAGATAAGTCCCATTAATTAACTGGAAAATGTGCTGTCGCCACGTAACTAAGTCTTGCCAGGCATTAATATCGTCCCACACGTTTGGTAATCGATCACGCCAGGTTGCCAACAACATCTTCAGCTCCCCAGACTTGGTGTCTAGATTCCTTTCATTTGTCTGCGCCAAGCTGGTACAGATAACGCTTGCATCGTGGAGCTCGACTAGCTGCTGGAAATTCTGAAGAATCGGAATATGTGCGTTCGTAATCCGTTTGGGAAGCTGGTGCCACTTTCGGATCGATAACTGAATGGATTCATCGCATATATTATTAAACTCCTGGGGGCCATCTTGCTTCCCATGGAACTTGAGAAGAGACATGAAGGCCTGGAAGAACGTCCGTCGAGGAGTTGGGGCATCGGAAACAGATTTTATCAGGGAATCCAACTGATCGCGATTCGCTTCGCCCTGCCAGTTGTCAAGGTTTCTCCAGGTCGCTTCCAAGAGAAGGTCGTTGAAGTTTTCATGTTTCGCGAAATCGCTAAGTATCTCCCATTGCTGCAGCTTCTGCGCACAAATCATCCAATGGTCCTCCCAGAGGAAATACTCTCCTTGCGAGAATGGAACTGCCCCAGTACGCGCCTTGATTTGAGCTGACTCGTACAGTTGCTGTGCCTTATCCCACATTCCCTGTTGTTCATAAGACAGCGCAGCATTGGTTTCGACAAATTTACACCGTCTTCGCCAGGTGCCGTAGAACAAATCATCTTCCTGTAAACCAGCGTAAAGTTCAACAAGAGCGTCGAGGTTACTTTCACGCACGGCGGGAGTGTCGATCAGCGGACTAATAGCCGATTCCTCAAGGGCGCAAGCAGCAATATACCAAGCATCGTACGTGCGACTGAGATACTTCATGACATGCGGTGGGATCTTGAAACGCGGCTTAGCTCTGACCACACCTTCGAGAAGTGCTTGGATAACATTTGGTCGATCGTCAATTTGGCCGCGATTATACTCGCGCGTGAGCAAAGTTACCATGCCTTTCTCCAAGTCGCTCCGCTCATCCCGATTCAATGTAGACCAACAAACAGTAAAGAGTGTCACCCAGATCCGATAAGCAAGTTTGGTATCTGCATGCTGGAGCTGCGAAAGGGGCTCCAGAATATCACGAACTTTAACATCACCCAGTTCCTGGCAGAATTTTCTGTGGTCTGAAATTAGAGACTCCAGATTGCTGTCCACCATCAGACCATCCTTTCTGGGATCTTTCTCTGAGCTTCCGAAGAGGAATGCAGTGGGCGAAACCGTAAAGTCTTCCTGGTGGAGTCGAGCGGGCGTGGTCATGTCTATGGAGCCAATAACCAACTGAGACGCCTGTGTGAGCCAGAAGGAATCGGCAAGCGTGTCCCAATTTTGCGACGTTAGTACATAGCTGAGCCGAGTATTTGCCGATCGTGTCAAGCTACGGTCAAAAATGGCCATGAAGCGATTGCGCATTTCGACATCTTGTGCGCGGGTGCCTATGAGGAAAGCGTGTTCCAACCGAACCGTCAACTCGGTTCTCGTGATCTTAGGGTCCTCGTAGATGCGAATGACTAGCTCTAGGAATTGTTTGAGGGGTGTCTGATCTGGCCTGGATTCGAAAAGCAGCATCTTATGCAACACTGCAGTTTTCTCCTTGAGCGTCGGCCAAGACTCCGTGGAGTCGAATATCCAAGACTCAGCCATTCGCAGGATCTTAGTACAAAGGCGGATGTCTTGAGAGCGCTCGACAAGCTGAGCAAGCACGCTAAGGAAAGGTCTCCGCTGTTCTCCTAGGTAGGACATCCTCGTAGCGAGGAGATCAATAGTCTTCGAAATCAGGTCGACGCCAATTTCAAACTCTGGATCATCAGAAGAAGGGTGTTGTTGTTCCCCAGGCCGCATATTGGCCATATTTCCAGCAGGATTGGCAGAGTTATTATTGCCGCTGTTCGCGTACGCAGCTACATGATCCTTCGCAAGCTTTAGTGAGAATATCTTCATGACGTGAAGAACATGCTGGTCGATCTCTGCTGGTTTGCACTTCGACAAGGTCCAAAGGATGTTGATGGCCGCAATGTAATTGGTGGCGGACAACGCCTCTGTGGCGATTGCGGAGAGGTATGTAACAAACTCGGAAGGAGAAGAATCAACATCCATCGCATCTTCATCTTCGGGCTGGTCATCCGCAGGCATTGCATCCAAAACACGCTTGACCGGTGGTGGCAATGAAGCGGTATCCGTCTCATCCATGTTTCCATGTAGACAGTCCTGGATCTCGGGATTATCTGATCGGAGAGGCTTCTCGAATAGCTTCTGCAAAAGCGTAGAACGGCTCACTATCCATTCATTAGGTTTAGAAGCAAGTAGAATGCGAATAACCTGAAGAGCATTGATCATGTTGCTCGTATGCTTCTCATCAGGTTTGTCAGCTTTCTCCCCACACAGAATGGGTTCCGTCACTTTTTGATACAGATCGATATCCAAGTCACCCCAGTACTCAGAAGACATAAGGCCTTTCAATAACTGCATAGCCTTCTTAATCATCTCGCCATGGAGAATAGGGAGCGCAGATCGCAAGGTGCTTTTCTCCCGGAACCTCGACGCAGGGACTTTGTACCTCTCGGGAAGGCCACAGATAAATGTAACGAGATACTTGACAAGGGCGGTGCGGAGATCAAGAGGAACCATGTATTCAGGTCGCTCTCTCATGGCAGGCGGGGCCAAAGCAGCGGACGGGGTAGCCTGAGCCTCTTCTGTAGCAGGTGGTGGCAGCACACTAGCCTCCCGCACACGCCTTTCTTCCCACGTCCAGATAAGCCCGATCAAGTTCAGCGTCAGCTTCTTACTTTCGTTGGACGGGTTTGGAGGTCCGGCGATTTTGATAAGAGATGGGACAATGAGGGGCACGAAGTTTTCTCGAGATTCATAGAATAAATCTGGTTGTCGAACGAGGAATTGGAAGATACTCTGTACTTGTTGTAGGTTTGCCGTCTCCTCAGCCAGAATGCGCCGTGGCCACCTAGACCATAAAGGGTACCGCGAATCTCCTCCTGAAGTTACCCGCTTGGGAAGTACAGGGGATAGAATTTCCAAAGCCTGGGTCACCAGCGCCTTGCCTTCGTTTTGATGGGCTCGCTGCAAGGCGACGTATATCTGTATTACGATCTTGGACGGTGTCTCATAGTGCGAGATAAAGTAGCTGATTAAAACGTAGCCACCGTACTTGTTAATAATATCCTCCAGGCGAATATAGCTCCAGGCAAACTTGATGATATCTTTTCGTGTATCTTGAACGATTGTATGATGATACTTGATCAGCAAGGCGGACAGCTGTAGCAGCTCCATGCGCGAATGGTCCACACCTGGCTGACTGGACTCCTCACTGATGTCACCTAGCTGTGGCTTCCAGAGTCTGTTATGGATGGCCTCGGTCATGGTCTTATCCACTAATCTCGGGCCAGTAGTAGACTGTTGGCCCCAGTTGTTCTTCACGTCCATTGCGAAGATGGGATTGACTAGGTTGTGGAATACATAAGTTTTCATTTTCTGTGACACGTTGCGCTGGCCATAGAGGTCCAAACAACGCATGATAAGCGTCCGCCGATAATCAATCGATTCGTTCGTGATGATGTTTTCATAAAGGAATTTGGGAAAAGCAAGAGTCGTCTTGAGCTCGCGCGCAGACAATCGATTGATGATTTCAAAAAGGAAATCCATGTCATGTAGTGAATGCGTCAGGTATGATAAGAAAATATCTATGAGCTGATCTTGAGCTTGTTCAACACGGAGACGCTCGTTGGGCGGCAATTTGTCGGCGCGGAGCTTACTTTCGAGGTCCCGTCCGGCGTTCATGAGGTGTCGTTTAAGGTCGGGATTGTTTTTCAGCCAGCTCTTGGTTGGATCATGGTAACATATTGCGTAGATAACATATATGGCATTAATAACGACAGTGTTCCTGCCGCTGTCGACAGGCTCCTGTACAAAGGCAATGGAAACCAGCGTATCACCCTCCGCCACAATGGTGGACCGTATGGCTACGCTCTCCGGGTTCATCAGTATCTGGCCAAAGAAACGACCATATCTTTCGTCATTCAAGCGAGCACGGAAAAACTCCCATGTTTCCTTCGCATATCGGTTGAGATATTTCACGAGCGGTTTTCTAAATGGGCTATTCGACGTTCTCCGCAATCGTTCTTCTAAGGCCAAAACCTTGTTCACCAATCGCTCCATAAAAGTTGTCGCAGCCGGAGGCAAGAGATGGAAAATATTAAAGGTAGCGGCGACAATTTTCATGGATGCGCTCTGTTCAATGAGCGTAAATGATACTCGTTGAAGAATATTATCATCGGCTATGACCTTCAAGTGGTCAAGCAATCGAGAACCAATTTCTACCTTGAAATAGTTTGTGAGCAGCGTCAGCAGCCTGGCTAGGCCATCAAGCCCCGCAACACTCAACCGCTTCGGATCCTGCAGGTTCATAAGGATGGGCCGAAGACCGTTCTGTAGTAGATCCTTCGGTAACTTATTCGTCTGCGTCAAAACATCTCGCAGACCAGAGTTTGCAGCCTCGATAATTTCCGGCGAGCGAGAATAGAGCGATTTGAAGAAGACGGCGATGACACGTGCACGCCCTGTATTCTGCGGGCCGCTCGCGAAATCCGGGAAGCTCATTGCCATAGATAACAAGCGGAGGCAGGAGACTCGGAGGTTCACAATTTGCTCTGCGGTCTTGAATTCATTTGGCTTCGGCGCAAGAGACTCGTCGTCGACGTCAACCAATGCCAATGATTCCATCAGCAGTCTATTTAACTGATCGTTGAACGTCACGATTCCATGATGAAGACCGAGGCAAAAGGTGATGGCATCGATAAATCCAATCTCTGTAGGAAACGGCAAAGCACGCAGCGGTTTATTAAAGATCGGCTGTAGAAGCCTATCCTTGACAGGAGCGAGGAGCTCATGCTTCTCAGCACCAACAGCTTGCGCAATAGTCTCAAACGCCTGCTGAGAAGTCTCGCGGACATGTTTACTCATGTGCGAGAGCTCGTAACTGAAAAACCCACAGAGACTGGTCAGCCTGCTCTTCTCATTCTTCAAATCCTCCTTGGACACGCCAGTTTGACATCTGCGGAGAATTTTATCTAGCGTATCCCGCGCTTGTACTCTAGTGCTAGCAGGCAAATCCGTCGGCGTATCCTTGATGACATACATGAGGGCCCTGACGAACTCCGCCTGCCGATCAACCAACCATGGCGTGCCGAGGTCAAGCTCCGTGACAAAGACTTGGATCCCAAGACTTCCACCGGCTTTCGTAAACCACTCTTCCTCATGGCAGTTGTGGCAAAATACTCGCGCAAGGTGCGAGAAGAAGGAGAGTTTGGCAATTTTGTCCGGAGAACCGAAGATAACAGCGGCTGTATCACGCATAGTAAGCATGGCGCTCTTCGCCGCGTCGCGAACATTACGATGATCAGACGAAAAACATTCCACGAGGGCATCCGCAAGCACTCGGGTGTCTAGGTACATAGGACCTTCTCCTGAGTTAACATTGAAAGGTCTCCTGGCGTGTCTCGCTTGTGCGAGTGATCGTCCAACTTCAACGATAGTAAAGTGCCGGCACACGTCCGTGACGAATGCAGTTGCACTCTGTTTCAGGTCCGGGATAGTTGTCGCGATAATGCAGGCTTTCAGTAACTTCCTCATTGTCTCCTCCTGGGCCGTCTTCTTCGGAATCGAGCCACTCCGTTCAGACTTTTCCAGAATATCCGGCCCGACTAGTCTTCCTTCAGCCAAGTCGTTCGCTTGCAATCGCACCAGCGTAGCCAATTCCTCAGGCGGGTGTTCAAGGCCAATATAAAGCTTCAGCTGAGAACTCAGCATATGGTACGCTTGCTGTTTGTAATGTGCATCAGTAGCTTTCGCTGCCGGTGTCCTAGGTACTTCAAGCAACTTCCCCAGTGCCAAATCAATCCCAATATCCAGGGGAAATGCACGTTCCTTGCTTGCACCACCAATAAGTTTAACATCTATGCTGGGAATATCATCGGCAAACGGCTGAAAGGACAATTCTGGTGGATGGTTGAGGAATTTCCGATTACGACCACCTAGTTTACCCAAGATTCGCATGGTGGTATGAGCATGGAAATGGCTGTAAGGGTTTGGACGAAGATGGTCCCAAAGGGCAGTCATGAGTTCGTCTACGATCGGCGCCATTATTGGGTCTAGATAGGCTGCGGTCAAGTTATCAACACAAAGCTCGAGTGTGCGGAGACCTTGGCCAACGAGTTCGGAGCCAGCCCGAAGTGCAACGACAATGGGGCGCATGAGATGACTGAGATGGGGGAGTAGATGGCTGAGACGGGCAGGGACTGTTAATGTGAGTTCAACGTAAAGATCGCGTTCTTGGGGTTTCCGAGCGCTTAGGAGGAGGTTATTGAAGGTCTCGAGAAGCATCTCCAGGAGCGGTAAGATTTCCTTGTATAGGAGTTCGAATCTGCCTCCACCAATACTTCGGAACAGCGAGCGGAGGAGGAGGAAATAATTCATCGGCTCCTCAGCTGTAACGGAGAGCTCTATACACTTGGTAACGATTTTAGTGAGGTGGGGATGCAAGACCTGCTCGTTCTGTGCTGAAAAAAGCGTGACAGCCATGAACGATAGCTTGAACATCCTCAACAGGATTCTCGATTTGGATACATCTGAGGTCCCCACCTCATGAATTCGATCCATGAGGTATTGCAGCACCATCCCAGCGAAGGCCGGAGACGTAGCTTCACTTGCGAGGAAGAATTGGGGCAAATGCAATAGCGAAGAATGTTCAAACATAAGCTCATGAAGATATGGAATCTCAGTCTCAAAAACTTCATGGAACGTAGCTGTGTCGATGCAATGGAAAATCGTGCCGAAGGTCTCCAGAAGCTCTTTCTCCTCTTTACCCATCTGCTGCATATACTGACTAGCAAGGAATTCCAGCGGTGAAGAGTATTGCACTTCAGGTTCTGGCTGATCGATTCCGTAATATTTGAAAACCCTAGCCCCCTCATGGAACAGCTTCTTGATCACCGCGACCTCCTCGGCTTTGTACCCAAACGAAACTTCGGGCCAATTGGGCGGAACGATGGTCTCATCAATGTTGATATTGTCCGGATTAGTTGCTTTCAGTGTATAAAATAAGCTCTTCAGCCCCTTCACAAGATTATTGAAGAGAAACTTATTATCTGCAACGGGATCGGCATTGCGCTCTCGCGGGTTTGAGGTTTTTATCGGAGCCGCGGAAAAGATATCGATTTCATCCCAATCCGGTGGGTTATCGATTTCCGCGAGGTATGATTCCCTCTGGTTTTCTGGTTGATTCTTAAATGCCCGTGATATCTTAACTGCATTGTCAAATTGGTGATTCATGGCAGCGAACTTATCCCCAATGGCGTCAAGAATCATGACCAAGAAGTATCTCGCATCCTGCTTATCCTGAAGCTTCGCTATACGCTCTGCCATATTCAACAACAATTTGGCACTCATGGTCTGGAAACTAGTGCCAGGGAAATCGTCGTGAAGATTCTTCGTGTACACTTCCACGGTCCGACGAATCTGATCGCGATTAAGTGACTCGCGGACATGATGTATGAGATCAGCAAGCATGCTGTATGCTAGTGGTCGCATCGCCTCATAGACAGTTAGCCCATCACCAATCAACGTCCGCTCGTCCAGGAGCTCGTCAATCTTATCTAAGAAGATCTTGCGGTAATTAAAGTTGATAATATGACGTATGGCGACAAGCAACTCCTTTCTAGAACTTGATTTCTCGCGCGGGCAATCCTGCAAAAGACGCACAACGACACCCGGCAGAGATGGGAGAAAATCCTGCAGCTGGTTCGCATACATCCGGAGCAGGTAGGCGAGAAAGCTCATCGTCTTCACTTGCGCGGTGATAAATTCACCAAAGGCCGCTCTATTCTTGATCTCTTTGCACACGCCAGTGAAGATCTTACCCTGAGCTGCGGCCTCTGCATGTGCCTTCTCCTGTGGCTTCGCCTGCAGAAGTAGAATGCCCTTGATTAGGGGCACGAAGACTTTGACGCTGGCAGAAACGACGCTGCGATGAGCTTGAAATATCGAGACGACGATGATCGGGCATTCCGCTAAGACTTTAAAGGACTGCATTCCTCTCAAAAGCTGTTGATTCGACTGCTGGTCGGGACCGAGATCAGAGACGGAGGTTGCGGGCGAGCTGGGCCGTGGAGACTGGAAATTCTGTGATGTTGCGCCCGGCGTTGATGGCATGCCTTGTCCTCCCGATGCAGGGCTATCGAAAGTATCTCTAACGACCTGTTCCATTGTCTCAAACATCTCCTGTATAAGTTCCAGGAATGGCTTGACTCTCGTCTGTGTTGCCTTGGCCTGCCGTCGTTCCAGATCCATGATTGTCTTCATACAGAGGACAGCGTTGTCCTCATTCTCAACTCGAACAAGTTCTAGTAGGAGATCGACCATATCACCAGCGTACGGTTCGACATCGGGGAGGTCTAGAGGGAGTCGATGGAGGATTTCAAGGACACAGTTCCGCAGTTTCTAAAACCGCTCGAGCAAAAAGAATTTGAATCCTTAGCACTCCAACAACGATAGTGGAAAAAGTCGCAGAAGATATACATAAATGTATCCCATACCTGTTCATAAGACAAACTAACAAATACCGGTTCGCCCTTGAGGATCTTTTTGAAGACCGGCCATAGCTTCGCAAGAAAAATGGGGTAACTGGGGCCGGAACATAGCTGCTCCAGCGAGTCGCGCAGCTCGATCGCGATATTGGTTCTGGTCTTAGTTTCTGAAAAGAAGAAGAAAATAGTTAGCAATCGATGTGGCGTAAGTTTTAACACTATGCCAGTAGACAGACATGCGGAACAAGAGCCCGCAAGTAGGACCGCGGTATACACCAAAGATGAAGCAAGAAAAATCGTGAAATGCCCCATACCGATATTCACATCTGCCAACCGGGTCGCATAGACATCAATATTCCGCTCCATCGCCGCCGTCGCGCTAGGAGAGCTAGCCATCGTCGTAGCCATTGCGCCTTACTTCTCTCTCCAAAAAAAAGAGAGAAACGACAGGCAAGCGAAAGGAATAGCTATTTACGTAGAACGGAGCTTAGTTAGAACCGCCAGGCCCCCTCCAGTGGGGCCTTGCGCTAGTTATTGTCCACCCAACTCTCTAGCAAGTCTCCATTCGGAGGGGTGGTGTCGTTGGTGTCTCGGTCCGTTGCTCAGGCTCTTTTTACTGTTGCTGCCGCGGAGCTGCGTTGACTTCGGTTCAACCACGCGACTAGAAGCGCTTAAGCGCGCGCAGAGAGAATGGCACAATTAAGAAATATATTTTGGTCAATGGGTAATAATTAGTAAAATTAAAACAGTGGGAAGAGGAGAATCATGAGTCGTGATGGGGGGGGGTGGGTGGAAGGGCGGAGACTGCGGGCGGGAAAGAGACGAAAGAACGATGGATTGAATTTCTTCTCCAGGCTGGGGGGAACGGCAGAGACCCCGTAAAATTCACTAGGCCTGGATAAGGTTAGCGTTTGGGTTTGTCAGGTTCGGATAAATATTTTCCCGCGCCTACTGCCGCCTGGGATGCTTAGTCAGGTGCTTGGCTTAAATATTAGCCGCAGAGAAGAATGCATGCTTGATTCTGGGTGGAAAGAGGATGGTCAAATTCATTATTGTCAATCTTGCAATTTATGAAGTCCCTTTGAGGCATATATGTGTATAGCTGTTTAAAAACAAGGACAAGAAGAAGTAAAAAAGCAGAGAAAGGGAATGAAAGGCCTGCAAAGAGAGGGGAGACAAGACATATATGAAAATTGAAGCAAACAATACGGAAAATAAGGGATGTACGGGTGGTTTGAGTTTATAAGAGAAAAGGAAAGGGAAGAAGGGAAAAAGGGAAAATAATTTTCATCCCATAGACGTCTAGGCCAACGAGCCAAAAACAAGGAGAACGGGTAAACGCCATCCACCAAAACCAGCTATATAGTATGTCTTTTATTCCCCCCTTTTGACAACCCGGGCAACAACACAACACAGCTCTAAAAGCGAATGCCAAACCGCGGACAAAAGAAAAGAAAAACGGTAAGAACAAAAAACCACTAGATATGAAGAAAGAAAACTAGAAAAAGAGAACAGTCTCATAAAGATTTTCTACTGCGCTTAACAGAGCAACACAAAACAGTAGGACAGAAGAATGAATAATGAATAATGGATTGGAGAAAACATATAAATCGGCAACACATGAGCACATGCACACACAGCACACAGACAAAACCTACCCATAAAAATAATGTTCATGAATTGATGGGTGTAAATAGGGATGGGCCAGGGACGGACGGGCGATAGGAGGAAAGCGGGGAACTGTAACAAAAACAGAACATTGTAAAATGTGTATCCGAAGTTTAGTAGTAGTAGTAGTAAAAATCAAGATTTACAAAACAGTGGGCGTTCAGAAGTAGAAGATAAATATCAAAAAGTGAAAAAAATAAAGAGTAACAAGAGAACATCACAACATCATCACAGCATGCTAATTGCTATGCCTTTCATTCATCAAATTCCGAACAGAACTTTGTAAGGTGTATGAAGAGGTTGTGTTCACTGGCACAAAGCCAAAAACAAAGAACAGAGAAGAGAAGAGATCCAGGAATTCATGAAGAAGAAAGAAAAGAGAATGCAAAACAAGAAACAGCCAAGGGGACGGCCGGTGAAAGGGGTGGGGTGAGGCAAGTAAGAGAGAAAAAATGAAAAAAGGATACCTCATATCAACCGAGAAAGAAGTTCCAGGAAACCAAACAACAACCCATCAATATTCAATCAATCCATCTAACCACTCCACTCCACTCTACCTCATCGAATTGCTCTGTGCCACAGTGGGCATCTGTGTTGAAGATGGGAACCCTCCCCCACCATTATGATTATCAGTATTAACGCTTTGGCTTCCAGAAGAACCCTTCCGCTCCCCCCGTTTCCTACTGCTGCCACTACCACGAGTTGCAGCGGCTGCAGTGCCAGGATTCTCACCACCACTCCCATACCCCGATCCCGATCCTGATCCTGTCCTGCGCGAGCGAGTGTCATCGTACGATCCGTGACGGCGCCTCTGCTGGAATCAAAAAACGGGGGTAATAAACCACGGCGTAAATGTTAGAAATTATTTGTCACATACATTTAACAGCCCACGCACGTTGAAAAAAGAAAAAGAAAAAGAAAAAGAAAAAAGAAAAAAAGAAGAAAAAAAAAAAAAAAAGGAAAAGGAAAAAAAAATAAGGAGGAGGAATTCTCGCTCTGGCTATGCAAGAAAAGCAAGCAAATACAGAGACAGAGATGGATAGAAAGAAGAAAATGAAAATGTATATGTGGTTATTTTTCGTTTTTGAAATAAGTCATTCGCCATGAGAAGAAACAAACAAAATTGCAGAAATTGACAAAATGGAAAATGGTGAATGAAAAAATGAGTCGTGACATTGTGAAAAAGGTGCATGAAATGCATGAAATGGCTGGCTGCAGATACAAGGGATCTCGCTTTATCTCTCTTTCTATCTCTCTTGTTCTTCTCTTCGCCCCTCTAACTCACTCAAGTCCCCTGTAAATCTTATGAAGCACTAACCGAATTCAGGTCTTGCCCATCCCGCTCCCGTAACCGCCGCTCCTTACTCGACTCATCTTGTAGTTTCAGTGCATTAAGTCGCTGTTGGCTGTCGTGGGTAACCGTGTCCATATCGTCCGTATGGCGAGATGATATTTGTGGTCCATCAGATGATGGTGTGGAAGATGATGTAGTCGCACCAGCATTAGTAGTAGTGTTGGCCAATAGTGGAGATGGGCCCGTTCCTGTTCCTGTTATGCTCTTTCGAGATTGAGCTAGCAGCTGCAGCCTGTCCCATTTGCCCTGTCTATTCTTCTCGCGGGCTTCTGCAGTCGACTGCAGTTCTGTGTAGTCGTGGGAGCAATCGTCGAATAATTGTGGGTTGATTTCCATGAAAAGTTTCATCGCGTTGTATACCATGCTATGGATGGTCCTGTGGGGACGGGTGGCGATAAGTAAAGTGTGCGTCATCAATTTTGCAAGTTCAGGAACATAGATCTTACCTGTTCCAATGCCCTTTTGAATTTTCGTATAGCGGAGCAAACATGATAGGCAGGATAGTTTCTACGTTATCGGTGACAAGATTACAGAAGTATTCATTGTTCCAAAAGTATAATGCCCGTTCAGCCACCTGGATAGAGATATTATTAACAAAAACGACCCACAGACAAATTTATTTTCGGTGGTGAAGCGGAACATACCTGAAAATGGGGGCTGGCCACCGATTTTGCCAATTGGTTGAAAAGCGGCTCCTGGACTTTGGCGAATTCCGTGGGGTCCATAACTTCAAAGATATCCTCGACTTCATTCAAAAACATAACTTCCTTCGTGCTGTTTACCTTCGGCCAGTATCGGAGCAACCCAAGAACGACCTAGGAAATAAACGAGTCAATTTCAGCGAGAGAAGGAAACCGGATGTAAGGGGCGAATGAAAGGGTTAGAATTACTTCTTCAGTGAGTGCAGAGTCCTTTTCGAGGAACTGAACGATGCAATATGCCAGCTGGGGGTGATACATGCTCAGGCTCTTCACTTTATGTAGGGGAATCAAGACGCGCGTTAAGAAGAGTTTGTGCTCCTCCTTTAGTGGGAGCGCGAAGCCATTAATAATAGAACCAAGAATCTCGAGCAGCTCTGCTACTCCATTAAAGCGTTCCGTTTCGTACATGAACTGGAAGAAAACATTGTTGATCGACCGTCGAATGTAAGAACGTAGGTTAAGGAATTTGCCGTAGATGCGGTGGAGGGTTGTTTTGAGAAAGTCTCGTTCGCGGGGGTCTTCAGAATCAAAGAGTTCCAGTAACTTTCCCATAGGTCAGTATTTTTTTTATAATTCCAGAAAAAGCTGTGGGAATAAAAGCACAAGTCAACATACTTGTAAAACAAACTGATGGTCGATATATGCTTTTGCTATATTGGTATTGAAATCTTGACTCTCGATGAAACGGAGGAAAAATTCATAAACCACCTGAATATGCGGCCATGCAACTTCAAGAACAGGCTCATCCTCTTCCGGGTCGAAAGCGTCCCCTTGAGGGTTAACTGGGGGAGGAATAGGGCGAAAAAGGTTTTTGGCAAACATATCCACCACGCGGGGATACATGGGGTCGGTGATAACAGATCTGTTGTTCGCCACGTAGTCTAATAATTCATGCAGGGCCAGTCGCTTGATCTCCTTGGATTTCATATCGCCAGTCGGATCATTAAAATCGAAAATGATATTGCACTGGTCAATTTTTTGCATGAACAAATCCTGGCGCCGGTTCGGAGGGACTTCGTGGAAGCCCGGGAGCTTCTCCAGTTCTCTTTGGCGCTGATCAGATATGTCGAACCTCGAGGAGTGTTGTCGTTTGGGTGTTCTGATACCTTCTGGAACATCCTTGGGAGTTGTTTGTAACCGATCGAAAAGGTTTGATTTTTGGCCAGCCTTTGGTGGCTGGAGATCTCCAGGCATGGTCTCTGCAGCCCCCGGCGGAGGAATGTGCTAAATTTGTTTCTCGTTCGTCAGCAGCTAGTTATCCACAGCACATAATATCCAATGCTATACGAAGTGAACCCAATCGCTCCGAAAGGATGAGCAGTGTGGGAGAGGGAAAAATGGAATAACATACCGGTGCGCTAGGGCTAATGATTACACTTGGAGCAAGCGGCTGTGGTTGTCGAATCGGTGTTCCGGGCCCATTTCCGGGCATTTGACCCGAATGACCTCCCATGTTTTGTCCTGGAGGCATAAAAAGTTGGGCGCTTTGAGGGGCGCTTAGCTGTGACTGAGCATTGTTATGGATAGCGCCAGCTGGCGGTCCACCACCGTTGCCGCCTTGTAGTCCAGCCTTCCCTTTCATATCGTTCAATGAGGTGGTCGAGGTGGTAGGGGTGCCATGATTGGAGTTGGCCGGGGAAGGGCTAGGGCCTGTCGAACTGGAGGTTGTGTTTTGACTTGGGGAGGATGTCCCGGAAGAATCTTTCTTCTTAGAAGACTTGTTTGAATCTTTCGCACGGGACAGCTGTTCATGCTAAAGCCGTCAGTCAATGCCGGGTTCTTCCTACAACGAAACAAAATGTGTCCATAGCTCCAAGACACATAACACAAACACCCACGCGGGGCTGGTTATGTGTGGGAGCTCTTACCACTCTCTGCCTGAAACCCTTCATGGTAGCTTATATCGGTGTGGCGGCCACATGTACAAGATCCGCCAGTGTTCAGCCAGTCGACCACGATTATCCGACAGTCAGCGGAATAGTCGTGACCAGCAGCTGTGTGAATTTCGAGGGGGAACGGAAAAGGCGACCCGGGCGGTATATTTATTCTAGAATGGCACATGAGTGAGCACACATTCCCTAGCGCGGGTTTAAGGGGTGCCAGAGACGAAGAAAGCGCTCTAGCTTATAGGTGGCAGGGTTAAGTTGACCCCAGGGCGAACAATCGCCATGAAATCAAGGTGAAGAAAGTGCCATCTTCGAATAGAAAACAAACGGGAAGAAAGGGATTAGGCTGTGCAGGTTGGTGTTTTCTTGCACAGGAGCAAAGGGGAGTGGAAGAGGAAGGGATGCTGCGGCTCGACAGTGGGTGGCGCAGTGACGGGGTTGCACGTTTGCACTCTCCCGAACGAAAGACATACAGAAGCTGAACGTTTAGGGGAGGGAGGGGAGGAAGTGGAGGGAGGGAGGAGGGAGAGGAGTGGAGACATATCAAGCCAAGCCTCAGGACCTACCGAGTAGGGTCACGTAACGTACCTTAACAAACAAGCAAAGACAATTGGAAACCCCAAAGTTCTGAATAAAAGGAGGAGGCAGCTGGTTTGATATTGTGGCTTGAGGGAAAATCGACCGGGGTGGGCAGTAGCGGAAGGGGATGTGAGCGACTTCAGGGGCGGTGGTGGCAGGGCGGGGAGTCAATCCCAGCGGGCCGTATGGTTCGGAAGGGAGGGAAACAAGGAGGGATCAAGCGCGAAGAGGCATGGGGTGGGAAGGAGAGGATGAAGTAGGATCAGTCAAGGGAGAGACGAGCGCTGAGCAGAGGTAGAAATAAGGCAAGACAAGATAAATGACAGCGGGTGCAGCGCAGACAGGAGCTGGATAGAGGTGTGGTGGGAGTTGTAGATGTCGTCGCCGTTGGAGGTGGATGTTGTCGTCGTCGGGGCGGGAGAGTTCGAGTAGACAGACTCCCCAGAGTGGCAGGAGCAGGCATGTCTTGGCGCCACTCTTCTGCGGGTTGTAGCTGTGGTTTGGCTTGGCGCAGGCTGCCTGATGCGGCTAGCGGGGGCGGGTCACGTGGCGAATCCACTTGATAGAAACAGCGTGGGGGATGAGTTAGATATAAATTGTATCTACAGTATGTATAAATATACTCATGCGAACATGTGGATTATACAGAGTACTCTCTCATTGTGATTCTATCTTTCTACTCTGCCGTCAGTAGTTAGCGCGCTGGTCCAGGGAAAAGGCAAACCCTAAGTCAACATTAGGAACCCAGCGCCTGCATCCGCCCGTATAAATACATGTATGTCAATATATGCTCTATCCACCGTGCGTGCTGGGCTACAAACAGGCAAGAATGGAAATGAGCATATCTATCTGTGTATCCGTTTAAATCTATATACTCCGTACCAGAATTACACACCCTTCAATTACCCACTTGCCGTATGACTGTTTTAGCCACCCTGATAAACCCCCTTCAATATGTCGCAAACGCCTCATGCCCGCGATCGCACTGCCCCTTGGTACTCGATTCCAGCGCGTGAGATCGTTACTGTGGAACATCCATGCGTGGTGAAGAACATAGACAAAGGGATCGAAACCCTTAGCGGAAACGGCGGCATTCCAAGGGCAAGCAGACCAAGTTCCCCCCCCTCTTTCAACCTATATAAACAAAGCCTGCAACTAACATGCCGTTTGTAGCTTCTAAATCCGCCACGTCAGGATTCCTCGATCAACTTATTCTTATCTCCCGAGGACGGCATGAGCAGACCTTTGTCTTCAATCTGTAACCCTGCAAATAACATCTTGCTGAAGATTACCGTCCCCAAGAGGACTGGGCGCAAGCGCAAACGTGGTTCTGATGAGCCCTTCACCAACGACCTCAATGATGTTGAAGAAGCCAGTGAACCTGCCAGCCCTACCACTAGTAGAAGCAGTGCTACAGTGCCGTCCCGTGCTCTAAACGCGCGGGCCTTGCTGCGACGACTCCAGGATAACGTGGGCAAATACGAGGTCGAAGCGATTGGCTGCGTCGAGCGAATGCACAACTTCCGTGGTATGTCGTGTAGGCCCAATGGATATAATATATCCATCAAGACTTCAAAGTTCAATGCTTTAGTGCTGATGAAGTCATAGGAATGCCGGATTTCGTCTACTCGACAATCTCTAGCCCCTTTATGACGAAATTCAGAGAGAATGTCTTACCCTTCCGATGTATGTGGTGCTTTTATATCCCCTTGAACCCCAGTCATTTTACACCATTTTTCTTCCGATAAATGCTAATCTTCCCTATATAGACGACAAGCTCAAAGAGTTCCAATTCGATATGACCAAAGGGTCTACATCGAACGTCGACATCATACCACCGCCAGCCTTAAGCCGTGGAGACGCCCCCTTCAACTACCTGTATGTTCACACTCATTTCTCCCAAATTACACTATACCTAACACATACCCCAACACAGCTATCGCCAAAACCCCACGGTCAAACAATCCATCGGCCCATCCGGCGAAATAACAACCACAAACACCCAACAAATCGTCAAAGTCCTCACCCACCTCGTAGCATGCGACGTCCCCTCCGTCCCAACCGCCCCTCGCGAAAATTGCCCCCCAATCCACACCCTCGACAAACCCCTACAGGAAACCATCGCAATCCTCCAATCCCTCTTCGAAACCCGCCCGGCCTGGACCCGGCGCGGCCTACGCAACCACCTCACGACCAATGAGCAGAAATACGCCCTCCGCCTCGCCGTGCCGTATGTCGGCTACATCTTCCGTTCGGGCCCCTGGCGCGACGCCATTGTGAAATTCGGCCATGACCCGCGCCTCCACCCATCCTCCTGCGTCTACCAGACATTTATGTTCCGCACGCTGCCGTCCAGTATCACCGAACAGCTCGAGAATGACCATGCCGGCACCCCGGCGCCGAGGAACACATCGACGACAACATCGGTGTCAACTAGGCGCAAGACCCTCCCGCGCGCCTCCGCCACTAGCACCGGTGGCGACCAGAGCGCGGCGACCCGCCCCTCCCATATCTTCACCGGCCAAGCCCCGCTCCCCCGCGACGGCAAGATGTGGATGATATGCGATATCACCGATCCCATCCTCGCCCGCCTTCTCAAACCACCGGCACCCCCGCCATCACCATCACCATCATCAGAAGCCCCATCCCCATCCCCATCCCCCATCCTCGCTGCATGCGACATCCTCTCCTCCGGCTGGTACGGCAACGTCACCCTCGCCGTCGCCAAGACGATCATGCGCGCGAAGATCCAGCACATGCTCGAGCACGGCACGACGCCGGCGGCGGCGATGGAGGAGGATTTTCTGCCCCTGCTGGAGTTTCCGGCGCGGTTGGCGGGGACGAGGAAGTGGGGAGGAAATGTGCTATTGGTCCTGGTGCTGCTGGTGGTGGGTGGCGCAGGTAAATTCGAGATGTATGACATTGCCGGCGGACGTGAGGGCGATGGTTCGAGGGGCGCCGGGGCGGAAGGTGTTTTTGGAGAGGGGGAGGGGGGGTGGTGATGGTGGTGATGGTGATGATGGAAGGGGTGGGGAGGATGGGGGTCGAGGGAAGAGGGTTAAGTGGGAGGATGAGGTTGGAGGGGTGGGAAGGGAGAACGAGGATGAAGGTGAAGGGGAGGAGGAGATGGGCGAGTCTGGAGAGGAGGAGGGGGAGGAAGAGGAAGAGGAGGGAGAGGGAGAAGGCGATGATGTAGAAATGTCAGGTCTATAGCCACCAGATTGAAAATTTGGTCTAGGGTGTTCCTTCCACTTGACTTATGTACTATATGAATGAAGCATCTTTACCAGGAGATCTCAGGGGCTATCCTCAGACATATATATACCAGGCGGGCAAGCACATCCATGCAACGCAAACCACACCAACCCGGCCAAGTTAGTTTACTTAGTTCGGTAAAATAGTGATCTCAATCTACTATGGGAAGCAGGGCCACAGGACAGGCAGATAACACACCGGACATGTACATGTAGTAGCAATTCCAATAGTTACCAATCATACATTCCTTCAGTAGTCAGTCAAGCAGCCAAAATAAACAATAGATATAAATTGATTATACGTAGCGTGCATGTAAGAAGTTGAGAAAATTATTAAAAGAGTCAAAAGAAAGAAATAGCTACAATCCCATAAAAATACTTAGATGGACAACAAAAAAATATTCCTAATACATAAAACAAGCTGCATCAAATTATAATGAAAATTGACATTGAAAGCTAAAAAAACAACAATGAACTATTTAACTGTATTAATAACAACTATCATGGCCAACAGAAAAAATATATATATATATATACCGCAGATTAGCAACTCACACCATAACAGCGACAGATTCATGGAAAACAAGAAAACAAGTAATTGAAGACAATGAAAAAGACCAGAAAATAGCGTCGAAACAGAAACAGAAACAAACAGGGATGAACCAAACTCCCAAGGATTTAGTTATCCCAACAACTCCCGATCCGAGCGCTACATCCACAGGCGAAAGAGAAAAAAAAAAAAAAAAAAAAAAGAAAAGAAAAAAAAAAGAAAGGGCCGGCTAGTATATAAGGTTCTATATGCTTTACTTCACCCCATTATTCATACTCCACACTAATACTATACCTACATTTTCCAAAACAAAAGATATTAAATAAAACCTCGTTACATCAGGGCGTCAGCCTCAGCTTCGTCCGCCGCACTCTCACTTTCCCAAATCTCTATCTCGTTGCTTGCTGCGAACGAAGAACAAGAGGTGGTAGAGGTGTTGGTGGTACAAGTGCTGTTGGCAAGGGGTGGTGCAGAGTTAGATATCAGTGCAGAGATGGCTGCGTGGCTGGCGAGGGTGGGATGGCTTGGTTTGGGTTGGCTTTGCTGTTCGTCGTGGTGGTTGTGATGAGGGTAGGATGGGTGGCAGTGGGAGGGATGTATTGAGGGGGGAGGTGGTTGAGATTCAGGCGGAGATCGAGAGGGTGGTGGTGGTGATGATGATGATGATGATGATGTGCTGACCGCCGTTTCTGCTTCTTCTCCTGATGGTTTCTCATCTTGCGATTGGGAATGTTCTTCCCCCGCAGTTGGGGGTGGTAGTGGTATAGCCGTTGGGTCGATGGTGTTTAGTACATGTGCATGGTCATTTGAATTCTCACAGTCATGCCACCCACCCTCAGGTCTGGACTCAGACTCAACCACGGTCACGAACCGCGTAACATCCAACTCCCCAAGCGCCGAGCGCGGCTCATCTGTCATTTCCACATTACGAGTACGATCCTCCCCTTCCATCTCCCCCGCGACAGCCGCTTCATCTTCTCCGCCCATCAACCCCCGCTGTCCCACAAATTCCACGGGGGGAGGAATATTCTCCTTCCCGCGATCATCTTTATATCGCGGCTTCTCCTCATCGTCACTAATATCCAGCACGCACGTTGAGTGCTCCATCAGGTTCGCCATCTCGTCCTGCTCGGTATCAGTGTAGATCTCGAAGTCCCAGGCTTTGGGGTGGTGTTTGATATTATTATTATTACTCCTGGTGCTGCTGCTGATATTGACATTGAGATGAATATCGTCCGGCGCGATTAGTTTTGTACTCTGCAGCCTCTGCGTCTGCGAAGTAGCATTGCGCGCGTTGGGGGCAACACTGGTATTGAGCATACCGAGAGTTCCATGAAGGGCATCGGCGATGGAAAACGGCGCGCGAGGCGCGGCATGGGCTTTTGTAAATGAAGGCGGGTCAATGCGTGTGTATGAGCCAGTGCTGCGGCGGGAGAAGGCACTTGCGGGTTTTGATTTCGGTGAGCGCCCTGCTGGAGCACGGAGCGGGGCCGAGTTGGGAAGGGCAGCTGCCCGCTTGATTTGTGAGACAGGTGTTTGGAGGCGTCTGGGGTTTGTGGTGATGGGTTTGGCGGGTGCGACGAAGGAGAATTTGTTTGTTGTTAATGTGGTAGCTGGCGCTGTTTTGGACACGTCCTCATCCAGTGCGTTTCTGGTCCTTTTGGTGCTTGGGGTGCCGAAGGAGGAGGGGTCTAGGTTTTCCGTGTCGGATAGGTCTGTCGTTTCTAGGCGGCGTTTGAGAGAAGGCGATGTTATTCCTATCAAGTGGGAATTGTTAGCTGGTTAAATATACAACCACAACGTGGAATTGTAACTGACCATTCTGTTGGTTTTTCGCGCTCTGCAGAAAACGCAAGCGTGAGGGATCAATCACTCCGAATGGCTGCCTCACAGGCGAAGGCATGGACTGGGTAAGGGCCATGTTTAGAGTGAAATCGCGTATGTGCTATGTATTGTTGCGGCAAGGTTCTTTTCTATATCTACGCTCCTGAGGGCGCGGGCATGAAGGGGATCTATGTGGGATGCTACCAAGGATCTCCAGCTGGTATGACGCTGTGAATCACAGCAATGGCCTGTTTGACGACTGGATAGGTCCTTTTGATGAATCCAGAGTTGGAAAATAAAAGGCAGATCAAAATCCAGGGGTTGGTTGGGGTCAATATGGGTTCCTCGCTAGATGTAAACAATGGCGGTATACAGCATACGAACAGGCAGAATGCTAAATGCACACGGACGCAACTGAGAGGAGATATACAAGTATGGTTGAGAAGAGAGGAAAGCAGGCAAGGTCCGAGATACAGGAGAAGAGAAGGGAAGGGAAGAAAAAACGGGATGTGTGTTGCTCTTGTTTTGCGAACAGAAAGAGGGGAAGTTGGAGAGTTATGAGGAGTTTGTTTTGGCCAAGGCTGGATGGAGCGCGTAGCACAGCGAGGGTCGATGCAGCAGAACTGTGTATTATTATTGGCTCCGTGCAGCCCTCCCTTGCGCCGATTTATTTAGCCTTGCTAGTGAACTGAGCTAAGGCGCGAAACTGATCTGCTCAACAGCGGACTGTTCTGATTCGGCGTGTGTAACTAACGGGAGGTTTTGGCTGGAAGCTGGAGGGAGGGAGGAGGAACTTTACTGTGTAGGTAGCCGGTCGGATTGGCTGGCGTGGTCCGGGGTGAAATGCCTCAGGAGCTTGATGCGCGTAAAGGGGGAGAGGATAGTATTGGCGAGTGAGCTGTCTGCGGGTTTCAGGGACTCGAGATACGAAGATGCAAGATCCCGGCTTGCGAATTGGTCGGTGGAATGTGGAGGATGTGAGGATTGTGGAGGGTTGTGGAGGAGGGTTTGGAAGGACTTCGGGGCGCCGTGACAATACGGTATGTTACCAAGAGTCGCGTTGGAGCGTGTTGCGGTGGCGGAGTACGGCAGCCTATAGTGACATTTGGGTCAAATGGATATTTTTGAGTATTTTATACTAGTGTTACCATATACACGCACCAATCATATTCAGGGCCTGTTCTCTCCCTTCACTTTTTTTAAAAAGTACAGTAGTCTCAATATTACAACTGTTCAGTGAGCGGAGTGTCTGTACTAATATTACAGCTGCTTTTTACAAAGTACAGATGAAAAAGATTAAATATTTAATAAATTAAGTAACTGTACAGAGTACTTACATCTTTTATAAAAATTTTATAAATAAATAGTATTTAATTTTAATAATGTGTAACAGTGTAAAATAGTACTTATATTATACTCTCAGCTATGTCAAGACTCTGTTACAGTTTCACACACTTTATTACTTTTCTATAAATGATTTCATTCATTTTACAGACTATTTAAACTGGTTTTCAATAACTCTATAATATTATTCAGATGTAATATAGAAAGATTTAATTAATAAATATAAGAACTCTACTTCTATATAAGATTAACAGATTACTCTTTTATAGTAGTAAGATATTACTGAGATATTACTTCAGCTATTCTCACTTATAGAATAAAAGAGAGATATTTGTTTATTATTTATATAGAATAATTAGACTGACTGTGTAACTATATCTGAGATCAGAATTAAACTTTATAGTTATTATATTATTTAAAAGTATTACTTCTGATTATAATTTATATTTATTATATTAATTTCAAATCATGTTATTTCAAATATTAAAGATCTCAGATTCACTTTTCAAATAAAAATCTAGTCTTAAATAAAGAATATATTTGAATTCTTAGTTACATTTTTATTCTGATCTCATTATTGAGAATAATATTAAATGAGATTATGAAATCACTTCTTACTTATATAATATTATAACATAGTGCTCATTTATTGAGAATTTAACAGAGAGTATTATTAGACTGACTGTGTAACTGTATCTGAAATCAGAACTAGATTTTTTAATAGTTTTATTATCAATTCAACTGATCTTATTACACAGTTTTAACATTAGATAGTAGTCTTATACTGTCTCAGTGAGACTTACTATCTACTCTTATTACATTTTTCAAATAAGTGTAAGAATAAGTGCTCGCAGGCGATTATTCGGGTGTTTGCAGCTTGGTGTGATATGTACTGTTAACTACTAGAAGTGTTCACAGTAGAAAGATAAATGTAGAGATTAAATGTATCATAGCATTCAAGCTGAGTTGTGAATAGTATTCATGAATTTCAGTCTATATAGTTATGTGTAGTCAAGGGCCGCTAGCCCTATTAGTTACACAAGAGATAGAAATAGAGATAAAGAATTTATAAGAAGTGAGATTTCTTATATACTCTCTTCTCTCTAAGACTTTGTTCATGAAGCCTTTCACTGAGTGACTTCATAGTCAGCTCAGCACTGCAGTGATACTCACTAAAAATTCTTCACATCTATAAAAAATCTCAGTGAGGAAAAATCTCTTATTATTACAAAGAAAAAAGAGTCTGTCACTTAGTTTCTTATTTCATGAGATTCTTTGTGATCTATAGATTCTTCTCTGACTATTATACAGATTCATCTCACATCTTTCATATAGAAGAGTTTCAGTTAACTCTTAATTATTTTCATAAGATTCTTATGTGATCATTACATAGATTCATCTTACAGATGAATCACTCTCTGTGAGATCACTCTTATCAAAGAGAAACATTCATAAGTTGATCTTTCATTCATTCTCACAAATCATTGCTCTTTGACACTGTAAAATTGTGAGGAATTTTTCATTCTTTCATTAACTCTGTAGAATTGTAGAATCAAGATATCTACAG